TTTATGAATTTATTGCCACCGGGGCCCGCCGGTGTAACTCCTAAACTGCTTTCTGACTGTACACTGTACTGCATGATTGGAGCGGGCTTACTCACACGTTCGTTCTAGTAGTTCTAGTTGACTATGAGGTGACAACGATGTAGGCTGTGTGTAGTGGTTAGCGGTCATGATATTAAAGTTTGGCTTGGAAAGGTTTTTTCACCTGGTCACAGACAGCTGATGTGTTGTGCACTGAAGTCCACAAGTGAAGGGAAACAGGTGAGAGGAGTAGAGCGCGTAGACAATGGTGAGAAGGAATTATATATACAACGAGCAAAGTGATCATGCTGTTTTTATGTGGCTGCTATAAAAGTGAACTGTTTTCGTGTGATCAGGGGTGTATCCATTCCACCGATTCTGTAGAAAAATATTTCTTAAACGGAAGCAAACAGAACGAAACGGGGATAAACATACCTGCATTTGTCCAATAGAAACTCTAATTTGCAACTGTTGGACTAATGATTACACTCTAGATCAGCTAGGAGCAGGCAAAAGTGTGCAAATTGGTATTGAATGTGTCACTGTCTGTCACCTTGATTACTAAAAATTATCTTGGATCTGTGCACCTACGTTGTAAACTTTCATTCATAGGCTAGGTCGTAGCAACCTCATCATGGGTACAGGGAAAATTTGAGTATCATGTAGTAGCGTGAATAGAATATGAATGACAGTCATCCAAAATGCTGTAGTACAAATAATGCAATGCTCATAAAAAACAAAACAATTCTCCCTCATCTTAAACGGCACTGACCGCCACTGATGTGAGGAGAGGAGATGTGAGAAGAGGAGATGTGAGAAGAGGAGATGTGAGAAGAAGAGATGAGAGGAGATGTGAGGAGAGGGGATTTGAGGAGATTTGATGAGAGGAGATATGATGAGAGGATGTGAGGAGAGGAAGAGATGAGAGAAAATGTGAGGAGAGGAGATGTGAGGAGAGGGGATGTGAGGAGAGGGGATGTGAGGAGAGGGGATATGATGAGAGGGGATGTGAGGAGAGGGGGATATGATGTGAGGAGAGGAGATATGAGGAGATGTGAGGAGAGGGGATGTGAGGAGAGGAGATGTGAGGAGCTGTGAGGAGAGGAGATGTGAGGAGAGGAGATATGATGTGAGGAGAAGAGATGAGAGGAGATGTGAGGAGAAGGAAAACAGAGCAGAGATTCTTGTGGTGAGTGGAGTAGTGGTTTCTGTTAGAACAGCGGGTGAGAGAGAGGGAGGTAGCGGGGGAGGAATAGGGGGGAGAGAGAGGAGGGATGGCAGTAAGTTAAGGCTGTTTCTTAGGAATATTTTTCTAAAACCTATAAAATAATTTCAGCTTTACTGGACATCACTCTTAATTGAGCTCATACTCTTTCTCTCTCTCTCTCTCTCTCTCTCTCTCTCTCTCCCGCTGGGTTGGGGCTGGAGGCTCCGATGTTTTAAGAATTCCAGATGTAGTTAACATAACTCAGTTGGAACATTGCACTCAGAAAAACGTGATCATTCCATCACTTTTTCCATTTCTCATTTCCCTGGGCTCATGGCTCTCTGGCCATGTCCAACACAACCTCCTAGCTTCAACTAGGCTCTCCTCTCCTCCACTCCACCTATGACCCCTGGTGAGCTGTAAACGATAGCTGGTTAACAACAAGATGGAATGCACAGAACCAGAGAAGCAGCTCTTCATTCTGTGGTTTGCTCAGCATTCCTAGTCCTGTTTGAATAGTGGTGAGGCCAGGCTGCTATTGTTAGTCAGTCTGAAGGCTATTCTCTTCCCCAGTGTGTGTGTTTGTGTGTGCGTGTGTTTGTACAGTATGTGTGTGTGTTACGATAACAGAAAATCACTACCAAAAAGTAAGGTATGACATATTTTAGAAAATATTTGTTATTTCATTTTAACTCATGAAATGCAAAAAGGTGAAACAGGCAAAACAATCTAATTCTCTTTTTTATTGATATCATTACATTATCTATATTAAAATTTCC